GGGCAGAGAGAGAGGGAGACACAGAATCGGAAACAGGCTCCAGGCTCCGAGCCATCAGCCCAGAGCCTGACGCGGGGCTCGAACTCACGGACCGCGAGATCGTGACCTGGCTGAAGTCGGACGCTTAACCGACTGTGCCACCCAGGCGCCCCTGTTTTAGGTTCTTTAGCTGAATTCTCTCCTAATCTAAGAAGTAACAAACACTGTACTGAAGCTCAATAATGACAACAGCCTTTAGAAGTTTAACCAAAAAACTATACACTCGAGAAAAAGTCAGGGGGGCTATTAAGGTATGAAAAACGTACGAATAATATGGGCCATGCTATCTTTAGCATTCAAAGGGAAAACTCTAATAAAATGTCTCTAGAAAATTCCATGTATTTTTTAAATAGTTTCTTACCAAACTGCCAAGGAAGATAGAAAAACACCTGAGCACACTTTTAGCCCTGACATCAGAAAGAAAATACAGTAGAGCAACACGCAGTATATATTCAGATGGTGTGGGACTGCGGCCCCGGCTGACATCACCACGTGTGTCACTTCCTAATACAGAAGGGCCAAGACCTCCATCCTCGCAACCGGTGCCCTATGCCAAATCAAGAAATATACTAGGAAGGGCGCCTGGGTGGCTCAGGTTAGGTGTCTGACTCTTGATTCTGGCTCAGGTCATGATCTCGCTGTTTGTGGGAATGAGCCAGTGAGGGGCCTTGCTGGGGATTCTCTCTCCCCCTCTCTCTGCCCCTCCCCCACTCGCAAACTCTCTCTCTCTCTCTCTCTCTCTCTCTCTCTCAAAATAAAAAAAGAAAACAAACGTACTAGGAAAAAAGAGACGGTTTTTGCGCTCTAGACCAAGAGGTGGCAAACTCTTTGTAAAGCGGCAAACACAAACGATTTTGAGGGGTGCGGGCCACCCAGTCTGCCGCAGCGACTCACTTCTGCCACTTCAGTGTGACAGCAGCTACACACGACATGAAACTAGGTGTGACTGTTTTGAAAACCTTTATTTACAAAAACAAACAGGCCCTTGCTCCTATTTTTTACCTACTTGTTCAAATTAAAATTCCAACCAGGGGAATAGTTAGGAAAAGTCCTTACCCTGATAATCTTCTGGTCTGTTTTTGTTGGATCCAAAAATCTTAATGGTAGGAAATCCCTGAACACCATATTGACCTCCTAGGGACTGGTGTTTATCTGCGTCAACTGCGCCAACTTTTACAACATCCTGTGAAAATATGAGAGTTTTATCAATTTTTCTTTTCCACTGGAGCAGATTCCACAAAGATCCATCACTGAACTCATGTAGACTCCAAGATGATACAGGGCAAGGTTAGGTTTACAGACAGATTTAATGAGACCTGTAGCCTGGGAAGTCACGCCTACGTGGAATCACGGGAGGAATGGACAGAGCTCTGGAGGGGACTCTGCAGCACCAAGAATTAGTGAGACCGCAAGGATTATGTCATTAATCCGGAAAACTGACTCAATAAAAATAGACAACGTAAAAATTACACGTGTTAGTGTACTATCCCTTTGCTCCCTACATGCTTTCGGCACCAGAACAAGGTTTTTGAGCTCCAACATGCAAATGAACTTCCGGCGGCACGTTAAGCCTGGCTGCGTTCTTACTTATTATACACACACAGGTGAATGAATGTGGGCATCTTGGAAACTTACTTTTAGCGCAGTTGCTACTTTCTTCCATTCTGGTGTTAACCTCTGGCAGTGGCCACACCTTTGAGGAGATAAAAGCACAAATAAGGCAACGGTTCAAGTCTTCGATCCTCAATTCAAAAATACTCTACCAACACCCTACTGAGGGACACGCACAGGGGTGGGTGCTGGCAGGGAACACATGCGCTAGTGAAACATGATCGGTGACGTGAAGGAACTCGCCATTTTAGGATTCTACTATCACTCTTCATATACTAATTTTAAAAGTTTCCAAGCCACTGGTTTTTTTTTTTTTT